AACCCCAAAACCCCAAAACCCCATAAGAGAAAAATCTCTGGAATATTCTATATTAACAGATTCTAATTAATATAAAGATATAAATAAAAAGAAGATATGGTCTCAACTACACCAGCCAAGATGGAATATAGATACCTAGGCAGCTCAGGTATTAAAGTTTCAGTTTTCTCTTTCGGAAACTGGCTTAATTCTAACAAATAAGAAGATTACGAGATAACCAGAGATGCTATCAAGATCTGCTTTGAAAATGGAGTTAACTTCTTTGATACAGCTGAGGTTTACGGTAATGGAAATGCTGAAAGTCAAATGGGCAAAGCATTCAAGGAGCTAGGCTACAGAAGAGAAGATCTTGTAGTCTCAACTAAAATCTTCAAATGTGGAGCTGGAGTCAATGATTCTTTCCTATCAAGAAAACACATCGTTGAAGGTCTAAGAAATTCCCTCAAGAGATTGGAAATGGATTACGTAGATGTTGTCTTCTGTCACAGACCAGATTTCGAGACTCCACTTGAGGAAACAGTCAGAGCTATGAGCTATGTCATTGATCAAGGTATGGCATTCTACTGGGGAACCTCAGAGTGGCCAGCAGATAGAATTTCAAAGGCCATCGAACTCTGTACAAGATTGAATCTTCACAAGCCTATTGTTGAATAACCTCAATATAGCATGCTATGGAGGTCTTCATTCGAAAAGGACTATAGAAGAATCTTTGGTGAGTACAGATATGGAAGCACTATCTGGTCACCTCTAGCTGGAGGACTCCTCACAGGAAAGTATAACTCAGGTGTTGCTCCAGAGGGAAGCAGATACGACGTTCACAAATACCTCGACCCAATCTGGTCTAAATGGATGGCAGAAGACAAGAAGGAAGGCACAGTTACTAAACTCAGAGCTCTTGGAGATCTTGCCAAAGAGCTTGGCTTTACTCAAGCTCAACTTGGTCTTGCTTGGGCTATCGCAAATAGAGATGTCTCAACTTGCATCCTTGGATTCTCAAGAATCGAGTAAGTTACTGAAAACCTCAAGGCAATTGAGCTCTACTAACAGTGGAATGCTGACATCGAGAAGAAGGTCAGAGACATTCTCGGAAATGACCCAGAAGTCGATATGGACTGGAGAAAATGGTCTCCAATGCCATTCAGAAGAGATGAAGCACAAAAGTTATGAGCTTATTGATAAGCAATCCTCAAAAGAATAAGTATCAATCCAAATCTTTATATTTATTACAATTAACCTCATTTTACAAAGATTTGCATCAGGGGTTTTGGGGTTTTGGGGTTTTGGGGTTTTGGGG